TGGCTGGCTTCGTCGTTTTCCGGCACGGCTGCTTGCTGCTCAGGCTCCAGGACCCGTATGTCTGTCGCCACACTGCCACCGCCTGGCCGGAACGTCCGTTGCAGGAGTTCTATCTGTAGCCGGCAAGCTGTTTTGCCTTTACAAGCCGTGACCATCGACGTTCGACCGTCAGCTAACGCCCTCCAGAAGGAAGATTGGCGTGCCCGCCCACGCTAAGGAGCGGTTCCCATTTTATCTACTCGCCGGAGCTTTCGAATCGCTGGGTGGACGATGAGCTGGGGACAACAGGCTGGCTGCTCACACCAGCGCGGGGCTTGAACTGACATAGTTCAGATGTTAAGGCAGTGGGATATACCCACTGTGCCACCGCTCCCCTAATTGAGAGGTTAGCAGCAGAACTGCTGGGTCCTAGGGTGGCCAACTTCCAGGTGGGGGCTGGAGACCCCCCCAAAAAAAATTACAACTGATCTCCAGACGATTCAGAGATCAGTTCCCCTGGAGGAAAGGGCTGCTTTGGAGGCTGAGCTTGATGGCATTACACCTACCACACCAAACCCTGCCCTCTCCAGACTCCACCCACCAGAGTCCCCAGGAAATCCCTAACCTCGAGTTGGCATCCCTGCCTATGTACCTTATGCCAATGAAGCACACACTGTGTAATTGTGCCTGGTTTTGCCAGTAGGGGGAGGGGCGGGAGGCACTGAAATCCCACTCCCACCACCCCAGATCTTATTCTGCCTCCTCGAAAACTCCAGAAGGAATTCCCCACATCTTTTCAAGTATATCCTTGTATCCGGGAGGCCTAGAAACTTTTGTTGTTGTTGTTCAGTCACACAGTTGAGTCTGACTCTTCGCGACCCCATGGACCAGATCCCGCCAGGCCCTCTTGTCTTCCGCCGTCCTCTGAAGTTGGCTCAACTTCATGTTCGTTGCATCTATGACACTGTCTAACCATCTCATCCTTTGCCGTCCCCGTCTTCTTTGACCTTCAATCTTTCCCAGCATCAGGGTCTTCTCCAGGGAGGGCTCCCTTTTCCTTACTTACCTTTCTCCAAAAGGACAAAAGATGGCATTTTCAGGGAGCTGCAGTCGATCCCACAAGCACACCCTGCCTTTGGGATTCTGAATTATAGAGTCATAGAATCACACCGAGCTGGAAGGTGTCATAGAGGCCATCTAGTCCAGCCCCCGCTCAGTGCAGGATCATCCTAGAGCGACCCTGACAAGGGTTTGTCCAGCTGCTGTTTAAAGACTGGCAGTGAGGAGGGGGAGCTCACCACCTCCCCAGGCAGCCGGTGCCACTGTCCAACTCTGGCTGTCAAAAAGTTCTTCCTAATATCCAGCCAGTACCTTCCTGCCCTTAATCTAAACCCCTTTTTGAAAGTCCTCTTCTCTGCTGCCAACTGGAACAGCTTTGGTGTTGTGGTTAAGAGCGTGGACTCTAATCTGGGAGAACCGGGTTTGATTCCCCCACTCCTCCACTTGCACCTGCTGGATGACCTTGGGCAAGCCATAGTTCTGATAAGAGCTGTCCTTGAAAAAAGAGCAGTTTCTGTCAAGAGCTCTCTCAGCCCCGCCTGCCTCACAGGGTGTCTGCTGTGGTTGGGGGGGGAGGGAAAGGAGATTGTGAGCCGCTCTGAGACACCTTTGGGTAGTGAAGGGCGGGGTATAAACCCAATCTCTTCTTCTCTCAAGGGCAGTTCTCAAGAGAGCTCTCTCAGCCCCAGTGCAGTTTATTGAGAAAGGTACTCAGGTCATCATATGACACACTTTGTGTCAGGAATGGGGGTTTAGGCGGGAAAACAAACTATTATAGCCAGTTTGGTGTCGTGGTTAAGTGTGCGGACTCTAATCTGGGAGAACCGGGTTTGATTCCCCACTCCTCCACTGGCACCTGGCTGGATGACCTTGGGAAAGCCGTAGTTCTGATAAGAGCTGTTCTTGCAAAAAGAGCAGTTTCTCTCAGAGCTCTCTCAGCCCCACCTACCTCACAGGGTGTCTGTTGTGGGGAGGGGAAGGGAAAGGAGTTTGTCAGCCGCTCTGAGTGAAGGGGGGGGTATGAATCCAATCTCCTCCTCTCCTCCTCCTCTTCTTCTCCTCCTCTTCCTCTCCTCCTCTTCTCCTCCTCCTCCTCTTCTCCTCCAAGTAAGAGCCTTTCAAATACTTCAAGGGAGCTATCCTGCCCCCCCTCAACCTCCTCATCTCCAGACCGAACATTCCCAAGAAGTCCCTCAGCCTCTCCCCAGAGGGCTTCTTGGTCTCCAGGCCCCCCATCATCCTCGTCGCTCTCCTCTGCATAAGCACAGATGCTGCCCTGGCTGCTCCCTGGGGTGTTTCTCTCGCTCGCTCACACGTCTTTGCCACCCTTCCAGGTGAAAGCGTTTGGCCCCGGCCTGGAGCCCGTCGGCTGCATAGTGAACAAGCCCGCGGAGTTCACCATCGACGCCAGAGGGGCGGGGAAAGCCGAGCTCAAGATCTACGCCCAGGTAAGCCGCGACGGGCTGGGTTCTTGTTGGTCCTGCACCTGTGGGTACCCTGGGCTCCATCTTGCGTTGTCATGGCTCAGGTGGGGTGTCACCCAACGCTGCCACCACTCTGGCTCCAGGCTCCCTTGAGAAGGCCCAGAGAACCCTCCCAAGACCTTCAGGCCTCCCTTTTGGCCGAATAACAGGCGTGAGGACCAGGCAGGGTGAAACAAGGAAAAGGTTTATTTTATAAGAGGTCAAGCAAACAAGGTGCAGAAATATAACAGTAAGTGGGTGAAAAGAAATTAAATGCCCTAACGCATCTAAATATACACTGCCTCTAGCTCACTATCTGCAGTGGCACTAGACTACTCACCCTTCCCTCAGGATGAGGGTCTGTCCCCTGCAGCAGCCTCCCTTCTGGCTCTGCCCTCTGGGAAGAAAGAACAGCTTCTGCTCTGGCACCAGCCCTTTTGTTCCCCAGCCCTCTTCTTCCCTATTGGTCAGTTTTGGCTCCAAAACCTCTCAGGGGCTTCTGGGAGTTGTAGGCCCAGCCTCACCTACTGCCAGCCAGGCTCCCTGGGCCTAGTAGGCCTCTGGTGGCACAGCCCAGATCATGACATGTGTATTCAAGGGCATGAACTGAGGCCTTCAGGTACTGACCAAGAGAGACAGAGAGAACCAGCAGCCCCTGTAAATGCCAGAGTGAGGCGATCTTTCCATCCTAGGACAAGCAAGTAGCGCATCAGTGACAGGGTGGTTACCCAGAATTCAGTGCAGGTGGAAGCCGGTGCCTGAGCATTTGGGCAGATGGGTACCGAAGGACCACTGAGCCCGGCATTGGAGAGGAGCCGTGGTTCAGTGGCAGAGCATCTGCCTGGCAATCCTAATGAGTTTCTGCTGTTGGGTGTGGCCTGTTATGCGAATGAGTTCCTGCTGGGCGTGGCCAACTCGGGAGCCAGCCGGAACTCCGTTCCTGTGCGTTCCTGCCCCCAAATAGCCCTGAGACAGACTATGACGGCAACCCATCTTGATCTATCTCTAAGAACTGAGTCAGCCCCCCCCCCAAAAAAAAAGCTGGTCTCCTTCACCTGCATGCTTCTGCCCGGGGTCGGTTTCTTGGCTGCAGGGAGGAGTGACCAAGAGCTGGAACTGAGGAACAGCTTTGACACAGAAATGTTCTTCTTTCCAGGATGCAGAAGGCGTTCCCATTAACATCAAGGTCAAAGACAACGGTGACCACACCTTCTCTTGCGTCTACGTCCCCACCAAGCCCATCAAACACACCATCATCATCAGCTGGGGGGGCGTCAACATCCCCAAGAGCCCTTTCCGGGTGAGTGACCGGCGCTTGACTGACTTTTGCAGGTCTTTCAGGGCAATTGCTGTGGCCCGTCTAGCGCACCATCCGACCTTCTGCTGGTTGGGCGGTCAGCTGCAGGAAGGGGGGCCGTGGCTCAGTGGAGGGACGCCCGCTCGGCATGCACAAGGTCCTGGGTTTGATTCCTGGCACCTCTCCCAGGAGAGCATCAGGAAGGACCTTTAGGTCCCTGAGACCCCAGAGTTAGACAGGCCGATACTTTAGGCTGGTCCTGCACTGGGCAGGTGGTTGGACTAGATCAGGTGTGGCCAAACCTGCTTAACGTAAGAGCCACACAGAATAAACGTCAGATGTTCGAGAAGACACGAACAAATATCACACACACTTTTTACTGAAAGAGATGCACATTTGCTTGTTATTAACATTAAATGAGATGGCCAAAAATAAAAACAAAAGGGGTAAGGGCAGATATTGATAACGATATTTATGTGCCTGATGCTACTTGTTTGCTAATGACGTTTATGTGTCTAAGGTGGAAAGAAAGAATGAAAGAGGTGGAAAGAAAGAGAGAAAGAGAGCGAGAAACAAAAAAAGCAAAGAGATGGGGAAGGGATGCAGGAAGAGAGATGGGGGAAGGGATGAAGGAAGAGAGACGGAAAAAAAGATAGAACAAATATCACACACGCTTTATACTGAAAGATATGCACATTTGCTTTTTATTAACATTAAACGAGACGGCCAAAAATAAAAACAAAAGGGGTAAGAACAGATATTGATAACGATATTTATTTCCCCGATGCTACTTGTTTGCTAATGACGTTTATGTGTCTAAGGTGGAAAGAAAGAATGAAAGAGGTGGAAAGAAAGAGAGAAAGAGAGCGAGAAACAAAAAAAGCAAAGAGATGGGGAAGGGATGCAGGAAGAGAGATGGAAAGAAAGAGAGAGAGCAAATAGATGGGGAGCCTCCCGGGAGCCGCACAATACGTGTGAAAGAGCCGCATGTGGCTCCCGAACCACAGCTTGGCCACCCCTGGACTAGATAGACTGTACGACCCCTTCCAGCTTTATGATTTCCTACAATCAAAGGCGGCTTTGGGCGTTCAATAGCTCAAGGGTGGGTCATCACCAGCAGTGTTCCCTCTAAGCTGAGTTAGTGTGAGCCAGCTCACGGTTTTTTAGCCCCCGGCTTAGCTCAGGAAGGAGGGCTCCAGCGTAAACTGATTTATACAGCAGCCAGACCGCTCACGCGCAACTTTAACGCCAGGAGCTCACCCAGGAGGATTTTTGCTCACAAGACTCCACCGCTGAGAGGGAGGGCTGGTTCAGTTGCACGGGGTGCCGATAGCCCATGAATCCCCCTTCTCCTCCCGGCAGGTGAGTGTTGGCGAAGGAAGCCATCCCGACAAAGTCAAGGTGTACGGCCCCGGAGTTGAGAAGACGGGGCTGAAAGCCAGCGAGCCGACCTATTTCACGGTCGACTGCAGCGAGGCCGGGCAAGGTAAGGGAGGGATCGGAGGGGGTCTCCAGGGGAGTTTGCCCTTCCGTCCCCGGCGCATCCCGCTCATCGGGCACTGCCCCGTCTGTCTTTCAGGAGACGTGAGCATTGGCATCAAGTGCGCGCCAGGCGTGGTGGGGCCGCTGGAGGCAGACATCGATTTTGACATCATCAAAAACGACAACGACACCTTCACCGTCAAGTACACCCCGCCGGGCCCAGGGCGCTACACCATCATGGTGCTCTTTGCTAACCAGGTAGGCAGCAGGACTGGGGCTTCCTTGGATCGGGTCCTTTCTTTTTTTGTGCTTCTATCTTGCCCTTCTAGCAAGGAACTGAGAGTGGCGTAGGTGTCCCATTTTTACTTCAACCAAACTGGAGCGGCAAGGATGGAGAGCCAGTTTGGTGTAGTGGCTAGGAGGGCAGACTCTAATCTGGGAGAACCGGGTTTGATTCCCCACGCCTCCACATGCAGCTGCTGGTGTGACCTTGGGTCCATCACAAGTTCAGAGCTGTTCTCTCAGGAGTAGTCCTCGAAAGAGCTCTCTCAGCCCCGCCTACCTCACAGGGTGTCTGTTGTGGGGAGGGGAAGGGAAAGGAGTTTGTCAGCCGCTCTGAGACTCCTTCGGGTAGTGAAGGGCAGGGTATAACCAGTTTGGTGTAGTGGTTAGGAGCGCAGACTCTAATCTGGGAGAACCGGGTTTGATTCCCCACTCCTCTTCCACATGCAGCTTCTGGTGTGGCCTTGGGTCCATCACAAGTTCTCTCAGAGCTGTTCTCTCAAGGGCAATCCTCGAAAGAGCTCTCTCAGCCCCACCTACTTCACAGGGTTTCTGTTGTGGGGAGGGGAAGGGAAAAGGAGATTGTCAGCCGCTCTGAGACTCCTTTGGGTAGTGAAGGGCGGGGTATAACCAGTTTGGTGTAGTGGTTAGGAGCGCAGACTCTAATCTGGGAGAACCGGTTTTGATTCCCCACTCCTCTTCCACATGTAGCTGCTGGTGTGACCTTGGGTCCATCACAAGTTCTCTCAGAGCTGTTCTCTCAAGGGCAGTCCTTGAAAGAGCTCTCTCAGCCCCGCCTACCTCACAGGGTGTCTGTTGTGGGGAGGGGAAGGGAAAGGAGATTGTAAGCCGCTCTGAGACTCCGAGTAAATGGCAGGGTATAAATCCAATCTATTCTTCTTCTTTTTCTAATAATAATAATAATAATAATAATAATAATAATAATAATAATAACTATTATTATTGAGTAGACAATACTGACCTTGATGGTCTGATTCAGTATAAGGCATCTTTAGGTGTTCAAGGAAGAAAGCAGGACCCCCGTTCTGGCAACCTTCACCACCACATTTGTTGCCTCAGCCCCGGCCCACCCCCCTCCCTCTCATTTGCAGAAGCCAGTGTCCAAAAAAAGGGGCCCGTAGAAAGAGGACAGCCAAGGTTGATGCCCCCCGCCCCTGTCAAAGCCAGCACAATTGTGGAACAGCCTCCCTCAGACTAACAGTCTCGCCTTTCCCGCCCCTCCCCCCAGGAAATCCCCATCAGCCCTTTCCACATCAAGGTGGACCCCTCCCACGACGCCAGCAAGGTGAAAGCCGAAGGGCCCGGACTCAGCCGGACAGGTGAGCGAAAGCCGAGCAGGGAGGAGGATGGGAAATTGCCTGCAAAAAATGTAATACATTTTTATTTTATTTTATTTTTTAAATTTTATTATATTTCTATCCCGCCCTACCCCGCAAACAGGCTCAGGGCGGCTCACAGTTAGGGCGTCATGTGCCAAGTATACAACATAAAAAACATACACCCCGGTATATCGCGAGGGGGCTCCATCCTGTGCCAAGAAGGGTGGCAGCAGCATTCTTTGCAAGCAGGGAACTGAGGGCATTTTGCCCCAACTGTGGCTTTTTCTTTGCAGGTGTGGAAGTCGGGAAGCCCACCCACTTCACGGTCTTTACAAAAGGGGCCGGCAAAGCCAAGCTGGACGTGCACTTCGCGGGGGCCACCAAGGGCGAAGTCGTGCGAGACTTCGAGATCATCGACAACCACGATTATTCCTACACCGTCAAGTACACAGCCGTGCAGCAGGTGAGACGGGCGTTTGCTCCTCCGCCTTCAGCCCGGTCCATACCCACAGGGCCGACCCAGCAGCGTCTTTGGGCGCTCCTTCTAGTTACATAAGAACATAAGAACATAAGAGACGCCAATGTTGGATCAGGCCAAAGGCCCATCCAGTCCAACACTCTGTCACACAGTGGCCAGAAATACCAGGTGCCATCAGGAGGTCCACCAGTGGGGCCAGGACACTAGGAGTCCTCCCACTGTTGCCCCCCCCAAGCACCAAGGAGACAGAGCATCCCTTGCCCCAGAGCCCCTATCTATACCTTGTGGCTAATAACCACTGATAGACCTCTGCTGTTTAGTTCAGAGGTCCTCAGACTTTTTCTGCGGGTGTTGCAGAATTTGGGGTTTGGGATATTCCCCCACAGCGGGCCCCTTTGGAGTTCTGATGCAGCGTAGTAAACACAGCTGCAAAATGGCCACCGCGGGAGGCGGAGCCAGCCACAAAAGGGCTGCCACCGCTTACCTTCTGACACACAGTGAAGACGATCCTTGCGTTGTGGGGGCAGCGGCTGCCAAAGCAACGTTCTAAAGAATCGGCACAGCCAATCGAATCTCCACTGGCCAATCGGAAACCTTGCTGGGTAAAAGCCCCACTGGTCCTGCCCAGTTTCTAAAAGCACTTGGACATCAAGGAAAGGTGTTGGCTGGCACCATGACCCCCAGGAGCACCCTGTTGGGGACCCCTGTGCTATAACCCCCCCAGTGTACACTTTTTGCCTCTGACTTGCATCTATTCTCCCCCCCCCGTACACCAGGGCAACATGGCGGTGACCGTCACTTACGGCGGAGACCCCATCCCGAAGAGCCCCTTCCCGGTGACCGTGGCTCCGCCCCTCGATCTCAGCAAGGTCAAAGTGCAAGGATTGAACAGCAGTAAGTGGGGGACTGGGGCAGGGGGGCAGAGCAGCATGCGGGAGACCGGGTTGGAAGGCTGCTCTCCAGAGCTCCTGGCGTTCCAGCGGCGCCGAAGGCATGTCGGGCAACCTGTGACGGTCCCGAAGAAGGGGCGGCGGGGTGCTCTCCCGACTACGAATTTGCATCCCCGTGTCCGACTCATCCAATATATCGGGAAAGCGCAATTCAAAAACCAAGATTGTTATGGCTGGCCTCTGCTCAACGCGTGTTCCTTAATGGGTCTTGAAAGGAGAGTATTCAGGGCTGCAATACACCTACTTGGGAGTAAGTGCCACTGAATGCAATGGGACTTAGTCCTGAGTCAGCACGTGCAGGATTAGGCTGCCTGAAGCCTTGTGTTGCTTTGCTCATTGGAGACCCCCCTCTCAGCCTCTGCTACTTAGGGAAGGGGACGTGGCTCAGTGGCAGAGCCTCTGCTTGGCATGCAGGAGACCCCAGGTTCAATCCCTGGCATCTCCACTTAGAAAAGGACCGGGCAGTTAGGTGATGGGAAAGACCTCCGCCTGAGACCCTGGAGAGCTGTCAAGAGGGGCTGTGGCTCAGTGACAGAGCCTCTGCTTGGCACGCAGAAGGTCCCAGGTTCAATCCCCAGCAGCACCAGTTAAAAAGGACCAGGCAGGAGGTGATGGGAAAGACCTCAGCCTGAGACCCTGGAGAGCTGTCAAGAGGGGCCGTGGCTCAGTGGCAGAGCCTCTGCTTGGCATGCAGAAGGTCCCAGGTTCAATCCCCGGCATCTCCAGTAAAAAAGGACCAGGCAGGAGGTGATGGGAAAGACCTCAGCCTGAGACCCTGGAGAGCTGTCAAGAGGGGCCGTGGCTCAGTGGCAGAGCCTCTGCTTGGCATGCAGAAGGTCCCAGGTTCAATCCCCGGCATCTCCAGTAAAAAAGGACCAGGCAGGAGGTGATGGGAAAGACCTCCGCCTGAGACCCTGGAGAGCTGTAAAGAGGGGCCGTGGCTCAGTGGCAGCACCTCTGCTTGGCACGCAGAAGGTCCCCGGTTCAATCCCCGGCATCTCCATTTAAAAAGGACCAGGCAGTTAGGTGATGGGAAAGACCTCTGCCTGAGACTCCAGAGAGCTGCTCCCATTCGTACATGAATGAATAAAAATAATGCTATGACTCAGAATCAGCCAGCTGCCTATGTTCAGCGATCTTCAGATATGCCCTCTGCTGTGATATGCTACAAAATCCTGAAGCAATGAGTCCCACGGGTTAGTTATGTGCTTGCGATAAAGTCCCTTTTTCAAATCCTGCTGCTCCCCCAGGTCTGTGCATTTCGCCACGGTGGAAGTGGCGTTTTCTGCACGTCTGATCATCCTGTTTCTTTTTCAACCTCTCCCCCCCTTTGCCCACAGAGGTGGACGTGGGCCGTGACCAGGAGTTTGCCGTCAACACGAAGGGGGCTGGTGGGCAAGGCCAGGTGGACGTGAAGATCAGCTCCCCCTCCCGGCGTCCGATCCCCTGCAAAGTGGAGACGGGCACCACCAATGACATCCACTCCGTCAAGTACATGCCACCCGAAGAGGGGCCTTACAAGGTGGACATCACCTACGATGGGCACCCCGTGCCAGGCAGCCCATTCTCAGTTGAGGCTGTCATGCCCCCAGACCCATCCAAGGTGAGTGGCAGGCACTGGATGCTCAGGGGCAGGGTGAAATGACATGCCCCCCACATTGGCCATCGTCCAAGGATGTAAGGGGGTCCCTTGGTTGTCAATAGGACCCCTGGAAGCAAGGTGTTCACAGCAGACCAGGGAAAGTCAGGAAAGCTTACGTTATTCCATTGCTGACATAAGAATGGCAGTTTTGCTACAGAGAAGCTTCAAAGGGAGATTACAACGTGAGACTGTGGAACTAGAGTTCATTGACAAGTTCAGCCCCACCCCATTTGAATAGGGACACAGGATTCTTACCTCATTCCAGACACTAATTTCCTGCACTTCACACTTCTGTGCATATCTCCTTCCTCTAAGCTGATCACGTGCCAAGTTGTACCTCTGCATCCTGACTCCAACCGAACTTTCTTGGTAACCCTCCTCCCACCTTCTGAGTTAGATATAAGGACTGATGGATCTTCATTCTCATTTGTATCTGAAACCTTTGTCTCCCAGAATCTTACACCCTGGAAAGTTCTGTTGATCTTTAAGGCGCTACTGGAATTGAATTTTGTTCGGCTAGATTCGGGTCCAGTAGCAACTTAGATATCAACAGAATTTTCGGTTTATGTGCTTTTGAGAATCAAAGCTCCCTCAGTCAGATGCCTGATGGAGTTTTGACTCTCGAAAATTCATGTTCTTCTTTGGCTCCAACGAGAAACAACTGGTTTAAAAAGGTATGGGACCACGTTATCTTGGAAAAAATCACAGATAAGGTTCAAAGATCCGAAATCTGCCCAAAGCAATCTAATTTTGATGAAAAGTGGTACCCATTTTCGGACTACATTCTTACGCAAGATTGCCAACCACATAACCCTCTGTATCATACTTTGATTTTTTTCTTAATGGCAGTCTTTTATGCTAAATATCTCCCTCTCTTTCATTCTTTCATTCTTTCATTCTTTTATATTTACAAATCTGTGTCCGTGGAAATCTGATTCAACTTATGTATGTGCGCTATGATTTACAAATCTACTGTTTGATCTTCAATAAAGTTTATAAAATCTTTAAAAAGAAAAAGAAAATTCATGTTCTGAAAATCTTGTTGGTTTCTAAGGTGCTACGGGGCTTGAATTTTGTTGTAGCTGACATCCGGTTTTCCTTCCAGGTGTGTGCCTACGGGCCAGGGCTGAAGGGTGGCTTTGTCGGCAAGCCCGCCCCTTTCACCATCGACACCAAAGGGGCCGGCACCGGCGGGCTGGGCCTGACCGTGGAGGGCCCCTGCGAAGCCAAGATCGAGTGCCAAGACAACGGTGACGGCTCGTGCTCCGTTTCGTACCTCCCCACGGAGCCCGGCGAATATGCCATCAACATCCTCTTTGCCGACGCCCACATCCCCGGATCGCCCTTCAAAGCCGACATCAAGCCCGTCTTCGACCCCTCCAAGGTCACGGCCAGCGGGCCCGGCTTGGAGCACGGCAAGGTGGGCGAGACGGCCACCTTCATGGTCGACTGCTCGAAAGCGGGCGACGCCGAGCTGACCATTGAGATCATCTCCGACTCGGGGGTCAAGGCGGAGGTACTGATCCAGAACAACAGCGACGGGACCTACAGCATCACCTACACCCCCTCCTTCCCGGGCACCTATACCATCACCATTAAATATGGCGGGCATGCTGTGCCCAAGTTCCCTGCCCGCGTCAATGTTGACCCCGCCGTGGACACCAGCAACGTCAAGGTCTTCGGACCAGGGGTGGAACCCCGAGGTAAGCTGTGGCCAATATTTTGTGTCTTCCCCCACTTGTCCGTCCCGATGCGGTGGGTGGGCACTTGTCGGTTTCAAAATGGGCAGGGCTATTTTTGGGCAGCAACGCACAGGAACGGAGTTCCGGCTGGCTTCAGAGTTGGCCACGCCCACTACAGCCAAAACCTCTGTGTGTGCCTGGCTACAGAGGGAAGGCCTGGAGAGCGACACAGACACCCCTGGCGACTCCGAGGCGGGTGGGACGGGGCCCCCCTGGAAGGATCGGGGAGGCATTTAATGCCTCCCCGTGCCTTCCCTGGCCTGTCCAAGGGCCAGCTTGCCCAGGCTCCCCACAGCCGCGGTGTGCCTGGGCAGCCAAGGGAAGGCAGTTTAAACTGCCTCCCCTCCCAGGGCTGGCTTGCCTGGGCTCCCCACAGCCATGGGGCGCCCGGGCAAGCCAAGGGAACGTATGGGGGTGTGGCCTAATATGCTAATGAGCTGTGCCGTCAGAGGTGTGGCCTAATATGATAATGATTTTCTGCTGTTGGGTGTGGCCTATTATGTTAATGAGTTCTTGCTGGGCTTTTTCTACCAAAAAAGCCCTGAAAATGGGTACCACTTTTCCATTAAAAGTCCCTAAAGTGCCTTGGAAGGAAGAAACCAAAAGAATCGCAGGAGAATTCAGGGGAGGAAAATTCAAGGAAACAGCTCTTTACGTAACAAGTGATTAAGACATGGAATTCGCTGCCAGAGGCAGTAGTGATGGCCACAGACACTGATGGCTTTAAAAGGGGATTGGACAGATTAATAGAGAATAGATCTACCAGTGGCTACTCACCACGGTGACTAAAGGGTAGTCAGCCTCTGAATTCCAGTATCTAGAGACAACATCAGGGGAAGGCCTCGGCCTCTCTGCTCTGTCGTTGGCCCTCCAGAGGAACTGGTTGGCCACTGTCTGAGACAAGATGCTGGACTGGCTGGACCACCACTTCTTCCGATGTTCTTATGAAGGCCTCGGCCTCTCTGCCCTGTTGTTGGCCCTCCAGAGGAACTGGTTGGGGAGACAGGATGCAGGAGTGGATGGACCACTGGTCTGATCCAGCAGGGCTTTTCTGATGTTCTTATGAGGGGTGTGGTTCAGTGGCTGAGCGTCTGCATGGCATGGAGAGGGTCCCGGCATCTCCAGTTAAAAGGAGCATCAGGTCGTCGGTGTTGTGAAAGACCTCTGCCAGAGACTCTGGAGAAGTGTCTCCGCTCGAGAAGGATGGGCTCCGGAGCAAACTAACTTATGCAGTAGCCAAATTGCTCACTCACAACTTTAATGCCAGTAGCTCACAAAGTAGAATTTTTGCTCACAAGACTCTACAGCTTAGAGGGAACATTGCTGCCTATCTACCTGTGTAAAACATCTGCCTCTCTAAATATAGTTAGAAAAACAGCAGATAACTTGTCCATCTCTCTATTTTATCTTTCTTTCTTTAATCTCACCATAGCCTTTTTAAGCCGAGTTCCTCCTTGTCAGGGGTCATTTCATAGAAAAAGAGGTGCAGGAGCTTATTAGCATAACTCATTAGCATAACTTATTTGCATATGCCACACCCCCTGACATCACCGGAAGTGTGTCAGAAGGCAACACCCACCGCTCAGGCTCCACTGGACTGTTTTGGATTGCTAGCTATGTGGGGGGGAATGCAGATCTGTCCTCGCAGAGGAGGGAGAGCTTGTACCTGAATAAAACTTGGTCTTAAAGGTACCACTGGACTGTTTTGGACTTGTTGGCTCTGCAACTTACCTGGCTGCTTCTTGCTCTGACTGAGGGCTGCTGGGAGCAAGGGGTGGGTCTTGTTGCATGTGCCCGCCCCCTGGGCTCTTTAATGCCGGAGCTCCGCTCCTGTGCGCTCCCACAGGAAATGACCCCTGCTCCTTGTTCTTTCTTGTTCTTCCTGCTCTCTGTTTCCTGTCATCTGGATATCTAGCGACATCTCTCTCCATCTTTCAGTCTGCATTAGCTACTGTTCACATCCTTACAGGAGGAGCAGATAGTCTTGTCAGGGCGGCCTGCCGTGATTGTACAGGTGGCCACCGGTGTTCCGTCTAAGCTGAGTGAGTGTGAGCCAGCTCACAGTTTTGTTAGCCTTCGGATCCCCCTTTTTTGTTTCAGCTCAGGAAGGGGTGGCTCCAGAGCCAAACTCATTTGTGCAGCCGCCAAATCGCTCGCTCACAACTTGAATGGCAGGAGCTCACAGAGTAGGATTTTTACTCACAAGACTCCTCAGCTGAGAGGGAGCATTGGTGGTCACCTGCAGGGGTTTTCAGGGCAAGACCGGGTCCCTCCCACCCCACCCCTGCTCTGGAGGTGTCTTCAGTCCAGGGGGGGAGGATTTGCAAAACTGCGTGATTTCAGCAAAGCGTACTTTATTCGATCAGGAACAAGATAACTTTGGCCAGGCCGGCTTATATCCCCCGAGAAACCGGCACCCAAAACACACCCCTACTTCCCTATAGGTTATTTACAGTGGCCGAGAGTCCCATAGGCTCTTGGCCGGGAACCCAGCCCCCTGATTGGAGCAGGCTAGGATCCACATAGTCCATTGTCTCTTGGAGCGAAGCTCGACGTTTGTCTCTGAGCTTGTCTGGACTTGTCTGGACTGGATACATTACAGTATCCCAAGCCACCCCCCAGGACAGCCGCCAAACTGAGACCTCACCCTTCATGATCTCTCCCAGGTGTCTTACGAGAAGTCACCACCGAGTTCACCGTGGACGCCCGTTCGCTCACCAAGACCGGTGGCAGCCACGTCAAGGTGCGCGTCATCAACCCCTCAGGCGCCAAGACGGACACCTATATCACGGACAACGGAGATGGCACCTACCGTGTCCAATACACCCCCTACGAGGATGGTAAGACCCCGTGATGCCTCCTGCCCCCGTCCCTGCACGGGTTCCTCCTTCCTATCTCCTGTTCCCCCGCGACCCCTCTGTCCCTTTTTTATGTCCGAGGCAGTCCTTTCCCCCAACCCGAATTCAGGCAAGAAGGATGAAGGCCCCTCCCCCCCCAGTTTCTGCACCCATCGTTATTTGGAATGGGGTCTATTGGCTAGAACCAGGGACGTCTGCATTCTGCATGGGCAGCAAACAAAATCCCGCGAGCCCCCTACTTATGCAACTTGATCCTATCTGCATATATTTATCTGGGGAGGGTGTCACCCCACTAAACAGATTTGTCAATTAATTGTACGTGTTTTAATCAATTAGTTAACCAATTGTGAGAGGGACTCTATGGCGTGATTCCCTGCTGAGGTCCCTCCCCTGCTCAAACCCTGTCCTTCCTGCCCATCGCTTCCCAAATTCCCAGGGATCCCCTAACCGGAACTGGCAAACCTAGGGAGCAGAAAACAAATATAAAGCCAACAGTCGTGATAGTCTGACCCGCAATCAACAGTCATAAGACTTATAAAACTTGCTGTACATGTATTGTGCTCTGAAGCATTACAATACAATACACAACTTAATAGAATTTATAAACCAAGGTACAACGTCGTCTCCGGATTATTTACCAACGTTTCAAAAAATGAATCTTCTTCAGGAGATATTCTGTAGTGCACAAAAATGCAATTTTTAGAATATGTACTATACCAATCACAAGAAACAAGAGACAATACAATAATCTTATTGCTTACTTACACAGAGGTGCCAAAGCTCT